CTAACTTCATCTCTAGTGTACAGACATGAGTGATGGGAGGTTACAGTCTTCTTATCTTGTGCTCATCGATAAAAACTACAAAGGGTATTTCCCAAAATGTCAAACCAGCCTTGCTGTGAAGTGTATCTTGTCTTAAAATGAAACCATTTTATTAAACTGTATCTTTTCTCCTGTTTCCCCTCCTGTCCTCTGCAAATCGATGTATATCTATTCTTCCTTTGCAGAGTACAGCCAGCCTGGTTTTTATCACTCAGTCAGTTTACAACGAGGAACAGTAAACCCCTGGCAAGCGGCGCAGCCACCTCAGGAGCCTCATGGGCCTCATATAAATCCTGTGTGAGCATATCATATATTATTCTAGACATAATACAGTAAATCCACTGTATATATCATTTTGAACCATTAGTGATAGTTGACTCTTAAATGTCATGTTCACAAGCAGTTTTGACCGTCTTTAAATTATCTTCAAGCTACTTCTAGTGCTCTTAGCTGTAACTCCAGGACTGATGACGTGTTTCAATCCAAATTCATTTCCTCCACCCTCTTGTTGTTTTCAGAGGGTCCAGCGGGGGATGCTCTTTCCCCTCTCAGTCCTGCACGCCAACCTCTCCGCATCTGCCGTCCCTCAACCTCAACATCAAATCGGAGCGTAGCTCTCCCGAGCACATGGCCTCACCTACCTCCCCTCCTCTGCACCACCTCAGGCAGCATTCTCCAATGAGCAACCCCGATTCAGCTCGTCATACCCCTCCAGATAGCCATCCAGCCAATGGCACGAAAGAGTTTGCCAAAACCAGCTACCCACAAGACCAAGAGGAAGGAGGGCAGTCGCTCCGGCAGTTAGAGATGAGCGACGGCTGGCAGAGATAGCCAGCTGCTCCGCTCTACAACCCACTCTCAGTCAACATCTGTCTTCAGACAAAACCATAAAGGGTCGACGTATGCCTCTCTTTGTCTCCTCAAACAGAGCTGGTCTCTCCTGGGCAGTGGAGAATTCTTCTCTGCATCACTTGCTTGATCCCACGAGGAGATAGATGCATACAGACTTTTGCTTTTTGTTTGGTTAGGGTTAGTTTTCTGTGTGGAGCTAATGTGAATCAAAAGTACAAGTTGGAAATGTGATTGTTTTCTTGTGACTTTGTTGAAGTTGGGCACAGCAGCAGTGTGGGACCAACTGAATTTCTCTGAAGTGCACATATGAAAAAAAACAAACGTCCATACATATTCAGCTTTCAAAGCCAAAATAAAAAATAAATAAATTAAAAAAAATAGGAGGTACTAAAAAAGTAGCTTGACTGGGGTTTTATGTGATAAGGTTACACAACAGGGCATTTAATTGGATACGTTCTTAAAATAAAAGTTTTTTTTAGTTATCACAGTTTCCTTTTTCTCCTTTCAGATGTGAAAATACCTTCGTAATGGAATTTTAATGAGAGAAATCTAGGTATGAAAGCCACTGTCTATTTTTTTCTTTAACAACACATAAAATTCAGCTAACGGGAGGTTTCTTCTGTCTGAATTATTTGTTTTATCCAGACAATGTTGCTTTACAAAGCACCTTCTCATGTTAAAGTAAAGGCATCCTCTGTAGAGAAACAAAGAAAAAGGAAGTTTCGCTCTGAAAATATCCCAACTTAAATCAGACTGCCGTAGCCTCAGATTGTCCTTCTGTGTCTTGGCCCCACATCTCTTACAAATGATTCACAACAAAAGAAGATATTTGCAGAACTGGAGGGACATTTTGCAGCAGTATCCTCTAAAAAAAAAAGAGTTGAAAAAATGTGAACCCGCCCTTTTAAGATTCTGGGCATCAGTCTGTGTCAGAGATTAGGTCAATGAGCTCTTCGGGATGTAAAAATGGTTTTCTTTTTCAAGTGTTTTTTTTTTTTAATCTTTAGTATTGTTGTAATGTGATCATTTTATGTTGTCAGAAACACTCACAGCAGTCTGCTAAGACCAAAGTGTTTAATTATTGTCCCTCTGCATTGCACACAAATACTGCAACAGCCCAAAAAGGATCTATTTGTCTTTATTTGGTCGATTTTTTCTAAAAAGCAGCAATCACGTGCTTACTCTTCCTGAAGGGCTTTGTGTAGTAAGTGTTTAGTGTAGATATTCCTGCGTTTATGATGTGTTAAAACACGAGACAAGCTGTACTAGATGAGTCCAAATATCAATTAATTTGTTCATTTATTATCCAGGTTTCTTTTATGTATACATTTACTTTTTAATCTTGTGCACTGGATACCTCTGTGTCTTTTAGTTTTGCGTTTTCAGTTTCTGATCTTCAAAAATAAAAAAATAAATTTTTAAAAAGGAGATAATTTTCATTCACTGTCCACAAGGGGTCGTCTTATTTCACACTTTTAATCTGACTGAGACTGGTTAAAGTGCAGAGCAGTGAAGACCAGCCTTAACAGGTAATTCTTTATCTAATAAATCGGTTAATCGGCTCATTAAATTAAACTCCTGCTAAAATCCAGCTC